ATTTTTTATGGGTCAGAAATTCAGCATGGGATTTTTGGGGGGATAAATTTTGGTCCAGGGATTTTTTTGGGTTTTGTTTGAAGCCCAAGGGAATTTTTTGGGTTTTGATTTTTGCCCCCATTCGAACAACTCTGTCACTTGAAATCCAGAGTACCCCCGTGGGGTGATAGTGACAAGCAAAAGCAGTGAAGTTGTTAATTTCACATCTCACCACAGTCTAAAGCCAATGATTTACAGATACAATGTATTATTCTTCACCTGTGCCATCTTTGACTCCATATAGAAGCAAGTGACCCTGTCTTGTTCCCACAAGAAGATTGTCACCTAAAAAATACATGGAATTAAAATTAATGGAATTTTATATATTTTTTGAAACTGTATGTATAAGCAGGCAGGATTAAACAATTTACTGTTTAAGGGAATGTGCAGTTGACCCTATCATAGCATGGAGGTCAAAAGTGTTGGGACTTTACTGACAAAATGATATAAGGGAGTTTACTTATAAATAAATGTACAACAGGGACAGCAGCAAAAACATCACTTAAAAAGTGAATTTGCATAATTCATACTATTTCAATTTTCATCAAACTTATTCCATTCCAATTAATTTGTCAAATGTTGGGTAATTCTTCTGGAGTTGAATTTGAAAGGACAGTGTTTAAGTTTAGCAAAAGAACACTCTTGTCGTGTGTTCACAAACTCCACAAAATGTGAAATTAGGATGTTTCAAGCCACAGCTGTGCAGCAACGGCTAAGAAATGTACAAAAAAATGATGCACGTATAAACTCATTGTTTAGCTATTATATACCTATTGTTTTTTGCTGTTCTTGTAGCTCTCACCGTTGCCGTTGCGTAAGCTCCCTATTGGTAAAACTGGTGATCCCCCACCCTTCCACCCCAAATAATGTTAAATAATAATGTTAGCAAAATGGGTGGAAAAGAGTTTTGGGTAAGACATTGCCGAGTTCATTTCCTCGGGCATGCTTATAAATAGCTAGCTGGTTTGTCTCCCGCCAGTTGGGATTTATAATCCTGTTATACTTGGGCACATCTTGTTGCTCCCCAAAGTCAGAACTGAGACGGCAAGGAAGTCTTTTTATTTTAATGGATCTAAACTTTTTATTGATATTGCAAGTGAAATGAAGGATTCCAAGTCAGATGTGATTTTAAAACTCGTATTTTGGAATTATATAGATCAAAAGTTTTTTAGTTACTTGTTAAGTTTTTGTATTAGTTTAGCTTTTAAATACATTTCAATTGCTGTATTTTAGCTTTTTTCGACAATTTTTTAATCTTGTTGTATTTTTAACTTTTAGTGTATTTTTAGTTACTGTAATTTAGGCTAGTTTTATATATCTATATATATATATATATATATATATATTATTTTATTTTATTTTTTTCCAGGGTCCTCATTGATAGCAGCATTTTATGCTGAAGAGATAACCCTGGCTAAATAACATTTATTATTATTATTATTACTATCATTACTATTTAAACTATCTGTTTCACGCATTTGCTTGGCTCCACTAGCATTAGGGCTATAAATACATAGTTCCCACTAAGTTAATGAGCCTATCTGTCCCTTGATGAATAGTTTACGCTGTAGATTTAATGTAACCTCCAATAGTAAACATCTCTGAAGCAGTGCTGAGATCCTTGTTCTGTACCCCCAACAGACTCGACAAAGTTCTAGAAGAACGTTATGAATTTCCTTTTATACTTATTGGCAAATACAGTCAACCCTCGCCTTGTGGACATCCTGCTATAACATACACCCAGATAATACAGACAGAAGCTAAATCCCAAGCAAAAAAAAACTCTTGCTAATAAGGACACTAACTCGAGGTCCTTACAGTGTTGCAATGTTGACAATGGCTTTTTTAACAAGCCACTCGTGGTGCGTTCTCAAATCCTAGTGCACATGTGGAGGCCCAGATAAAGAATTTTGGCACTGTTTTGAAGACGGACTTAAACAGGTTTATTATTCTCTGTGGTGACGGCTACTTGATGGACTGAGCCAAATCTAACATGATTACCAAAATAATATAATGACTAATAAACTGGTATTAAATAAAAAGACTGCAGATCAGAAGATATATTTCATATAAAACTAACCTAAAATAAATTGATTCAGCAGGCAACTTCTATTTATGTAAGAGTATAGCTTATTAGCATTTTAGACAGGAAAAAATGAACGAAACAAGCTAACTAACTTACAGCTTTTCAATACAAGTGGCCCACTGTACATTCATTTTAACTCGTTCATTTCTTACCAAAGGTAGCAATGCACTCTATTTGGAGTGGAAGCTTCTCCAATATAACAGCATGTTCAAAGGCATCGTGCATTTTTCTAGCACTGTAGACTCAGGAGCTGAACTTAACATGTTTGTTCCCTACATAGCTTGAAGATTCCTCGAATCTGCAGTCATTTGAGCCTGCAGTCACGCCACACAAACTTTCATCCTTTTCTTTGAATGAACCAGTATGAACCTTTGATTAGAAGCCTCGTACCTCGTTAAAATTAATTTCTTAATATGATATGCCTAGAATTCCTTTGGCATTAAAAATTTAGCTTTTTGAAATTTTGCAAGTTTTCACGACCATGAGATAATGTGAGGGTGTGAAGAACCAAATTCGACTTCGTGTATGCAAATCACATGACCAATGACGTGTGACGTCACTTTCCTCCCTGCTCAAAAATTCCAGCCTGCGCCACTGACGAAAATTAGCGATAACTGCAGCTGTGACTGTAATTTGTAAGTTGTAGTTTGTTTACCCACGAAGCACTTAGGAGATCTTATGAACTCGTTGAAAAGTATCTGTGTGTTCCAGATGGAATTGGAATTTGGAAGTGTTCGTTTTTGAGGAAAGGGGAAAACCGGAGTACGAGGACTGGAAAAACCTCTTAGTGCAAGGGAGAGAACCAACAACAAACTCAACCCACATATGGCGTTGACGCCGGGATTTGAACCCAGGCCACATTAGTGGGAGGCGAGTGCTCTCACCACTGGGCCACCCTTGTTCCCCAATTTATCTTGGGAGAGTCTTGGGACGGCTGAAAAGTTTTGGGGGTAAACCACAGGTTGCCCAAGCTCTCTACAGGAACGCGGACGTGACTTTTGCTTGTGTTGTGTTACAAACAGTTATTTACAAACGCTTGGTGTAAAAGTTTTTCTCAAAAAAGAGAAAAAATGTTAAGTTTTTAAATAAAATCGACTTACCTTATTGCCTTGTTTTATTCTTTGTTGTTTGCCTGCATTTCAGGCCGTTTTGAGGCGTTTTCGGCGAGTTAGCGCTTTCTCTTATATAATAGCAGTGGAACATCAAAGTAGCGCTAACTCGCCGAAATACGCTTCAAAACGGCCTGAGACGCTGGCAAATAACAAAGAATTCAATAAGGCAATATGGTAAGTCGATTTTATTTAAAAACATAACATTTTTTCTCTCTTTTAAGAAAAACCGTGTACATTCGATCCCGGGGGGAGGGGGCACTTGGGTATTTTTTGGGTAGATATGTGCCGCCCGGGACTCCAAATTGGCACCCCGTTCTAAAAAAATTTTCCCTAAAATTGACACCCCGTTCTAGAAATGGGCCAATTTTTTATACCCCGTTCTAGAATTCGCCCAAAAACTGATACACCGTTCTAGAAATGGGCCAGTTTTTTAAACTCCGTTCTAGAAAGTTTGTAAATTGAAATAGCCCTGTTTTTTAAAAAAGATATTTCTTTATTTGTTCGACTTATACATCAAATAAATGCTTCTTCATAATCAGCAACAATTTTAAGCAGAAGATAAAGCCTGGATCCACAATTTTTTATACCCCGTTCTAGAAAACGCCTCGGAAATGGATATCCCGTTCTAAATCAGGAGCTTCAAAATCACGACCCCGTTGGGCGGCACATACCCGTATAAGTAATGTATGGGAGTGCCCCCCCCCCCGGGCATTCCATACAAGCCTTTGTTAATAACCGTTTCCGTTTGTAACACGTGACGGCTCGCAAGCAAGAGTCACGTCCGCGTTCCCGTGGTGAGCTTGGGCCACCTGTGGGCAAACAAGATGTTTTATGAGAGATGTGCAAAAGCCGAATATATTCTATCACCTTGAAAAAATTCTTGTCTCAAATCTCAGATTTCAGTCTTGTTGCTTTCGTCTGTATCTCACAGTCTTCAACAGCAATCAAATTCAGTGTTGTCACATGATTTAGTCACGTGAAAACAAATGATTTCGCGGGAGCGGTTCGTAATCCTTCTTTGTTTAGGACTGAGCGCTGGTGTTAGGCTTGAATAATTTCTGCTCTTAAAATGGTTTATTCAGCCTGCCGGCAGTGCTCGTAAAAATCGCTTATTCTGCTCAAACGTTTGCTCGGACACCCTTATTCTGCTCGGTATCCGAAAAAAGTTTCGGCCCTTCGAGCCATATTTATTTTCGCAAAGAAGGGAGCCTAGGCCTAGCCCCTAAAAACTAATTAGATATTCATCATGCGTAGCAAAATTGACCACTCCAGAAAATACCATAACATACCATAGTGCTCTTTGTTTGTCAGCCCAAAATTTTGCATAAGCATTGTTTTCAGTTTCTCTTGGGGCCATTTTAACTCCCAAGAGAAACTGAAAACAATGCGTATGCAAAATTTTGGCGTGACAAACAAAGAGCATTATGGTATGTTACGGTATTTTCGATCTGGAATCATCTAACTTTTAATGTGAGAAAATGTGAAACAATGAAATTAATCTCAAAGTATTTTCCATTTGTTTTTTTATGTAATTTAAATCTGTTCACTGACTGTTCTCCTCGAAGCCGGCAGAAGAAACGTCTGCTGTTCGCAGGCTACAATAGCTTCGCTTGGACCACATGACCCGGAAGGCTTTGGCCGCGCGGAATAATGAGGCCTAGGGACTAGGCAAACTACCATGACATCACTTTTCAGTTGCGTCGCTCCGTTTCTTTCGCCCGTCTCTGGAAATCGATAACGACAATCGGATAGAATTGTGTTGAAATTTACCCCATCCAAGCCTCATCACCCCAGATTCTCACACAGTTTATATTAAGCAGTTCGCATGTCGATTCAGAACCTTCAAACTTATGGTAATGTCTTGTTAGAGGAGCTTTTTTTTTCAGTTTATAATCTGTTGTGAGCGATGATTATTTTGTTGCGTTGAGACCTTTTCAATTTGCTCTCTTTCGCAATCATAGATCCTTTTTCGGATGCTAATAAGGGACTGCGCGAAACATCATTACAAGATACGCCTATTCACATCCGCATACAACAGCGAAACGGAAGAAAGACTTTAACTACAGTGCAGGGAATTCATGATGGCTATGACAAGAAAAAGCTTGTGAAAGCTTTCAAAAAGGTTGGTATTCCAACCGTAAATCTGTGCTTTACATCTTGTAAAATAAC